TGATTCATATAGTTTCTCTGTGGTACCATCCCAATTATCATAAGCAAGCAAGGTTTCCCTTGAGTATGTACTATTAAATTTTAAGTGCATTTTTTCACATGTCCATATTTTTGCACATTACATGTATGTGAGTATTGGTTTGATCATGATATCAAACATTTTCAGAAAAATTTTGATTGAGTTTCCAAGTAGAGCATCTGCTTCAGTTTGAAAAATGCCTTCAGAGCCCAGGTTTTCAAGTCTACTTGCGCTATATCTAGGTTTCCAGTAGTATTTAGTTTTATACCAAGATACATGTATGAAGATACTCTTTCGAATTATTGATCATTCAAATACAATTTTATTTTATTTAATGTTTTCCCACCTTTGTTAAATATCATAGTTTTTGATTTTGCAATATTAAGATAAGTAATTGCATTTTGTAACCCTGATTTTGTCTCTGATAGGATTACAAGATTGTCAGCATATAATAGACACAAGAGTTTACAATTAACAGTTTACAAGCATTGGTGATTCACTTTCAGACGGATCTATATGCCCCTTTGGACAGGAAAGATGTCAGTCAAGTAATTTTTGGTTTTGACACAGTCAACAGAATTTTGGTATATAATAATAATAATTTTATTCAACACAACAATCTACTACAGAGAGTAATTTTATGGTTGTAAAACAAAATCAGAAATAATACTTCACACAACTAATATGTGTTTTACTATTTTATAACATTTATTATTGATTACCATTTGTTTCAACTTGTGCATTAGGCTTTCATGCCATACAGAATAAAAGGCTGTTTGAAAGTCAATAAAACATGTCATTGAGTAAACTTGCTTTCCTTTTTTGGAGAATTTTGTACAAATATGGTCTTGTGTACCAAATGATGGCATGAAATCTATTCGTTCTTTAATAATTTCATTTTCATGTAAATATCTAGAAAATCTTTGTTTTAGGGTGGAGGTAAATAATTTGCTGAGAGTATTGAGAAGAGTGATTCATCTGTAGTTACCAGTGTCAGTGATATACTTTTTGAAAATAGGTTTGATAATGCAGAGATTCCAGGATCTGAGATAGAAACCAGGATAAGATTGAATACTTTTTGTAGAGGATTTATTAGTGTATGTCTACTGCATTTTATCATTTCATTTCTTATTTGGCTAGGTCTCGGAGATTTGGATTTTGTAACTCTAGTTCAGATATTAAATTGTCTAGTACCGGTATATTAATAGATGTTTGGTTATGATCTACATCATCATATATCTTGTTATCTTGTTTGCATGAGCTGATCACATGTTAGGCAATAAAAAGTGGCACTTCATCGCTAACCTACAACCTGATAACTTGTGTGTCTCCCTCTTTATTCTGATACGTGAATTTTTATATTCATAAAAGTTTTACCATTTTACACTAAAATAATGAGGATTTGGTTATTAGGCACTCAACCGCCCATCATGAATACCATAAAGTTCGTGTACAAGAAGTCGAAAATGGAATGCACTGTGTCATTTTATAGTTCTTTAGTGGAATTTCCTATTTATAGCAGAATACAGAACCGCACACAATTGTGAAGTTAAATAGTTAAATAGCAATAGTTAAATATTGATAACTTAGGGCTTTTTCTATTTATTTTAGTGTGGCTTTTAAGGTGTCCCTGAAACGCTTCTTCTGGCCATCTTGGGAGCGTGTTCCTTGCTGTACATGTCCTGCCCAGCGAAGCTGAGTCTGCATCCATAGTGTGAATATTAGGCAGATCAGCAGGAGTTGGGACCTCAGAGTCTAGGATCCTGTCTTGCCACTTTATGCCAAAAAGACTTCTGAGGTTGGTCGTGTGAAAGTGGTTTAGCTTCCTGGCATGACCCTGATAGATGTCCAGGCTTTACA